TGGAACATTCCTCTCTCTTGGATCCAGATCCAGGATGCCCTCATCAGTATGAAGGGTGACAAGGGAGCAAAAGTCTGTGTGATGTTAGAAGAGTTTCCTACCATATTTGACAATTTCATTTGCACCAACTGGACTGAAGAGACACTGAAATACTTTCACGAGAAGGGTTTTCTTATGTACCTCGACAAAGAGCCAAAGAGGGTTCTGCTTAATGCTGATTTACTAATTGATATTATCATCAAACTTGTCACCCAACAACCTGAAGGGATAGCTGAGAGGTTACAGACGCCACTGGAACCTATTGTGCAACAAAGGAATGCTGACTGAACCCCTACTAGAGAGTATCCTCTCAAAAGTGGTGCAGAAAAATAAGGAAGATGTGACTGCATTCCTCAAAGAGTGTGACTTGATCTTCCCTTTGACACACCAAAAGGCTCCAGTGCTGGTGCCTTTCGTCCTCTCCGCTCTAATCATTGTTACAAATTGAAAGTCCAATCAGCTAGATTAAATTGTTACAAGTACTCATTCTTTGTCAGAATCGTAAACCTGTGGAACAAACTACCTAAAGACGTAGCTGAAGCAGAATCTCTGCCAACATTTAAGACCAAAGTCAAGAATTACCTTTTTAAATAATATTGTAAATATTTTTATAGTATTGTATATAGTTAAATAGCAACTTAATGTTCTTCTATTTTGTATATTCAAATAGATGTTTAACTAGATGATTATTTTGGAAACACACTCGATAGGGCTAACCTCTGGTGTCTCCCTTTCTTTCAAATTATTTATTTTTTGTGATTTGATTGAATAAAGTATATTTATTAGTTAGTAAATGAAGAACTTCTGGCCCCAATTTTCTTTGTTCCAGCACTGCTGCCAATTTCTACAGATGAAAACACTCAGTTGTAAAGTGAAAGATCTTCAGATAAAAAGTTGTTTTTCAAGAAATTCCTACCTGAGCCTTTCTTTCACTATCTTCTCTCTCGTGCTCGCAAGAACAGCAAAGCTGAGTTTTCGCATAGTCAACCTCTTGTTTTCAGAGATGCTGGCAAGTTCTGGTTGAATTCCAAGCAGCCAAACAGATTAAAACTGCTAAAGGACATGAAGGTGATAGAGGTGACTTTCACCAGTAGGTTAGTTGAATATCCATTTGTTGTCCATTTATTTATGATATTCAGTGTAACTACCGGTAGTATGTAAACTAATGGCTAATGGGACTTTAAGATCATTTTTCTTGGGTGGGAAAGGTGCTAAACTGTTCTAGAGCATCTCTACTCAGAAGTACAAATGAGTTTGAATATCTGGTTCTCAAGAAACAGCTTTACATTGGACTGAGGAAATCCATCCAGATAGGGTTGCTGAGGACCTAAAGAGCCAACCTCAAATATGTACCAGATGCACTTAAAATTATGTAGATTATATACAAAACTAATATGTGTACATCACAGATGGGATTAATTGACAATTAAGTTATTTGACTTAATTAACAATTGTTAAAATTTTCTGAGTATCAGAAAATCAGTAACATCAGGTTATTTTTAGAGTAACTGCTTTCTCCCTCATAACATCAAAAGATTGCCCATTAGCCACGATAAAAATATGGGTTTTTCAGGAGTACCACAGTGACATCATGTTAGTTGATTTTGGCAAAGAGGGACACAATTCTAGCACTGTTAATGTCTTGCATCTTTCAACAATGTTACTCTGAGCCCAGAGTTAGCTTTTGGCAGGCAGTGTCTACCATAGGGATGTAAAATTCTATAAGAATTAGGTGTTCATACATTACCATTCATGAGTCAATGCATGATGAAATTTCAGTCTTCTTGAATAGAGAAGCTAAGATTTTATCAGTTTTCTTTTTTCGCAATGCCCTCAACAGTGGGCATATGGTATTTCGTGGACTGGACTGGACTGGACTAGTAAAACGCGGACTAGTAAAGCGAGGACTAGTAAAACGCGGACTAGTAAAACGCGGACTAGTAAAACGCGGACTAGTCCGCGCTTTACTAGTCCGCGTTTTACTAGTCCAGTCCAGTCCAGTCCTCGAAATACCATATACCCTTCTCCGCGAGTTTGAAATAAAAGTGGTTTTCATTCTAAAAATATCTTGTTCCCTCTATTCGCTAGATATTGACACCTGACTTTGAAAGGGTTTCCATTGTTTGCGCACTGGCGTGGCGCACAAAAATACAAAACATCTGGTTTCGCCCAGTGATTTGGTGGCTTTAGCTATGTGAT